ATTCAAACTACCCAGCATTTTTAGTCTCATCCTTTGTTCAGACTATGAACACTCTTTGATAAACAGCCTATGGTAGAAGCATCAGATCTTACTAGTCCTAAGTATTATGATATGGAAACACCCCCCTTCCTGTCCTCCTCCTGTCTCTCCCCAGAATTACACCTCTGTAAGAACTTAGTCATTTTGCTTGGAGGACAACTTGTTGAACTTTCCTCAGTTTAGTGAATTTACTGCAGTTCTTATCTAAACTACAATTTATCTCTTTCCTTTGTACTCCCAACCTATCATTACAGTAGTCATTGTAAGAAAAACAAAACAACTGGGCGTTTGTTCTTTTTGGCTGCCCAATAGATGAACTCCATAGTTATATTAGGGGAATTCCATACCTCACAGTGTTTTGTGAGAAACAGTGTCACTACTGCATGTTTCCCCCCAGCCCTCACACAGCCTATACCCAGACAGAATTGGGAGAAAAATGCATACTGTTCAAGCTTACCTCTCTCCAGATTTGAGGATAAAAATTACAGCAGTATGGAGTTGGAGTGGTTCAGCTGGCCAGGGTGGGGAGGGGAGTGGTGAGTGGACATAGTAGCCATAACTTGCTTCTCCAAACTCTGGAATTTTTCTCATTGACACCACATTCTGGTTCTGAATTTTGACTTGAGATTGAATCCCTTACATTGGTTGCTGACAGTGATTACCAAAAAAAATTTTTTGATTCCTCTTACTAAAATTGGGAAGAGTCTGTGATCTAGCTGAATGCTCTTCTATCCCAAGCCTCTGAAAGCTACAGTGGTCCTTAGTTCCTTATCTTGTAGATTTCCATGCTGAGAGACTTACTCTTTCTTAACCATCCCAAGAGCACTATAGTACTTTATGGTGGGAACCCCAATGGTGAGGCCTTTTATCATAGTCTTTCCAGGCAAAGGATTTCCTCTCTCTTCTTTATGGTCATTTTATACATTGTAGCCACTGTTGGAATCTTTGGCTTTAATAAAATCAAGAGCATCAGTTTTTAGCAAGATTATAATTTTCTGATAGTAAATTTACCACTGTATTATCTGTTTAGCACAAAACCCTGATCAAGTGAGTTCTTTTAGCTTTTAGGTTATATTTTCGAGTCTAACCTAAGAGTTAAGAGAAGTTTTCCTTAGTATCTGTTGAAGTCAACTGACCTTGTTAATTTAGGCTAATTAATGGCATTGAGGTATTTACAAAATATAAGTCTACAGAGTATTCATGATGTACTTACCGGTTTCTTTCTTATTTATCCCAATTACCAAAGCCATGTGTGTTCATTGTGGAAAAATTTGCTAAGTACAGAGAAATATATTTTTTTAAAAAAACAAGGTAGGTGTCCAAATTGATCTACAGATTAAATGCAGTCCCTATCAAAATTCTTGGTGCCTTTTTTTAAAAAAAAAAAACTTATATCGACAAAATGATTCTAAAATTCCCATGGAAATGACTCAGAATAGTCAAAACAGTCTTGAAAAGGAACGTTGATGGACTCAAATTTCCTGATTTTTAAACTTAATATAAAGCTACTGTAACCAACATGGTATGGGACTAGAATAATGATAGGCATATACAGGTTAATGGGATGGAATTGAGAATCCAGAAATAAACTGTAACATTTATGACCAATTGTTTTTTGACAAAGGTGCCAATATAATGTAATGGTGGAGGAAAATAATCTTCTCAACAAATGATCCTGGAACAGCTTGATTTCCGCATGCAAAAGGATGAATTTGGACCCCTTTCTTACACCAAAATTAACAAAAGTGGATTAAATACTTACATCTAAGGGCAAAACTATAAACTCTTAGAAGAACTACATAGATGTAAATCTTCATGATGTAGGATTGGTCAGTGGTTTCCTAGATACGCCATTCAAAGTACAAGCAAACAAAGGAAAAAATGATGCATTAGGCTTCCTTAAAAACTTTTGTGCTTCAAGGGACTTTTTCAAGATAGTGAAAAGCCGGCCCACAGAATGGGAGAAAATATTTGCAAATCATATACCTGATAAGCATCTAATATCTAGAATATACTAAGAACTCTTACAACTCAATAATAAAAAGCAACTAAATGTAAAAACTGGGCAAAAGAAATGAATAGATATTTCTCCAAAGTAGATAATAGATGGCTAATAAGAACATGAAAAGATACCGAACATCATTAGTCATGAGGGAAATGCAAATCAAAGCTTCATGATATACCGTCATGCCTGCTAGGAGTCCTGTAATAAAAAAGATGGACAGTAAAAAGTGTTGGTGAGGATGTAGAGAAATTGGAACCTCATACATTGCAGGTGGGAATGTAAAGTGTTGTAGCTGCTTTGCAGTTTCCAAGTGTTTAAACACAGAGTTACCATATGACCCAGCAATTCCCTTCTAGATAGATACACCCAAGATAAATGAGAACATAGGTCCATGGAGAAACTTGTACACAAATATTCATTGCAGTCAAAAAGTGGCAACTTTGTTTCCTATAATAGCCAAAAGTAGAAACTTCTAAATGTCTATCAATTGATAAATCCTTAAACAGAATGTAATATGTACATAAAATGGAATATTATTCAACCATAAAAAGAAATGAAGTGCTGATGCTTACAACACAGTGGACACACGTTGGGAACATGGGCTGAGTTTGAAAAACCAGACACAGAGGCCACGTATTGTATGATTCCATTAACATGACATGTTCAGAATAGGCAAATCCATAGAGACAGAAAGTAGATTAGTGGTTGCCAGGGGCTAGTAGGAGCAGGGATGGGGAGTGACTGTTAATGGGTATGAGGTTTCTGTTGGGGTTGATGAAAACATTTTGGACTTCAGTAGTGGTGATGGTTGTACAATCTTGTGGATATACTAAAAAACACTGAATTGTATACTTTAAAAGGATGAATTTTATGGTATGTGAATTGCATCTCAATTTAAAAACCCAACAAAAGTTACCTCAGATTCCACTGCCTAAGGACAACCAAATTGAGCATTTTAGAAAATGCCTAATGCCAGGTACCTCAGCCCTTTTGAGACCTTCTCATTCAATTCCTCACTGTAGCTTTGTGAATCTTCTGTCAGAACTGGAACTCCTGACTCCTTCCTCAGTGTTCTTTCCACTAATTTGCTCTGCCTGTTTTACACAGAATTTTGGGTAAAGAGAGAAGATGCTAATTTGGAATATCATTAAAATAATATTTTACAAAGTTGGGTGCTTTACTCAAACACACAGTTGACCAGAAAATATTTATGGTTTGGTTCAGGTAACACTCAGCACCCAAGCTTAAAGCAAAAACTTGAGAAATTGATTAAATCTCTGAAGTTTGTCTTTAGTGTCAAGGGGTTGATAGTAATTTTTTTCCAGAGATTGTAAGAAAACAAGTAAAATTAGAAACTCCCCTTACGTATCCATTTATCTTGGCCTGGATTAACCCTGGGCAAGAAAAGCTGGTTTTATTTTGTTTTCACAAAATATGCTCTATGCTATGTTTCATTTCTATTCTATGCAGCCGGAGTCTTTAAAGTAGACAGCATCAAGAAAACACATGAACATGAAAAACCTTGTTAGGATGGTTAATTTAGTTTATTTTATGCTCTTAACGTTTTAGAGCAACCAAGCATAGGTTCAGAGGTTTTCACCTGTGTGTTCCTTTATTGATTGTTTGTTCCTTATTAGTGAACATTTAAAAACCTTACTACTCCTTGCAAAAACAAGACTTGTTTTAGTTGGCCGGGCGCGGTGGCTCAAGCCTGTAATCCCAGCACTTTGGGAGGCCGAGACGGGCGGATCACGAGGTCAGGAGATCGAGACCATCCTGGCTAACACGGTGAAACCCCGTCTCTACTAAAAAATACAAAAAACTAGCCGGGCGCAGTGGCGGGCGCCTGTAGTCCCAGGTACTCGGGAGGCTGAGGCAGGAGAATGGCATGAACCCGGGAGGCGGAGCTTGCAGTGAGCTGAGATCCGGCCACTGCACTCCAGCCTGCGCGGCAGAGCGAGACTCCGTCTCAAAAAAAAAAAAAAAAAAAAGAGAATTAGTCATACTTTCTAATGACATTGACATGAAAATATTGTATTTTTAAAATCTGTGTTTTAAACACCTTGAATCTAAGATATTGGTGCTGTGGCTTTAGTCTTTCATCATATAATTTAAGAAAACATATTTTCTTTGAAAATTATTTCCAGAAACTTATGGATAGCTTGATCCTGAGTAGTTTTCATCATAGTGCTGTTAAGTCCTGCTATTTAAGGCCATATAGATTCTGATTGAAACAAACTTGCTTTTAGTAAATAAATAGCACCGAGATATGAAAGTCCAAGTAAATGGCAAAGTGAATTTTCTTTCCCAGAAAAATGCTCTCAAAAATTTGATTTTAATATAAGTAACACTTTTACTTAGATATCATAAACTCATTTTGATTTTACTGTAGATGGACTCAGCCCGAATTCTAGATTCTATGAGGGTAGAGACTGTTTTTGCCATTACTGTAATCCCAGAGTTTATCCTTATTCCTCATACAAAAAAATGTTTGTTATATCATTATATATTTGTAATTATGTATATTTTTATATATTATTATTATTATTATTTATTTTTTTATTTTTTTTTTGAGACGGAGTCTCGCTCTGTAGCCCGGGCTGGAGTGCAGTGGCCGGATCTCAGCTCACTGCAAGCTCCGCCTCCCAGGTTTAGGCCATTCTCCTGCCTCAGCCTCCCGAGTAGCTGGGACTACAGGCGCCCGCCACCTCGCCTGGCTAGTTTTTTGTATTTTTTAGTAGAGACGGGGTTTCACGGTGTTCGCCAGGATGGTCTCGATCTCCTGACCTCGTGATCCGCCCGTCTCGGCCTCCCAAAGTGCTGGGATTACAGGCTTGAGCCACCGCGCCCGGCCTTATATATTATTTTGTAATATACCTCCCCATTAACTGTAACATTCTGAATTGATAACATTGTGTGTAATAACTTTTCTTAATGTTTTTGTCTTTCTCTATAGGTTGGTATTTTGTATGGCATCTTTTTTTATCAAAATTCAAGTTTCTCCGGGAACTGGTGGGAGACACAGGATCCCAAGAGGGAGATCATGAGCCTTCAGGGTCTGAAACTGAAGAAGACACTTCCTCCTCTCCACACAGAATCAGATCTGCTCGCCAAAGGAGGGCACCTGCTGATGAAGGCCACAGACCCCAGACATAGTCGTGTACTCGTGAAGGATGAAAAGGCAGTTGCCAACTTCTGTCTTTTAGTGACTTGGCTTTGAAAGTTACTAATGACTGAAGAACATTTGTATTGGATTTTATGTCCAATTTTAAAAAAGATTTACATGTAAGCCATATAAAAATAAAGGGAATTAAAACCAAATTGGACTATTTCATCTTAAAGATAATCTTTTATTTCACTAGCTTTCTACTTATACTCTTATTCCTTGGCTTTTGGGCTTATTTTCTTGCACTGCTGCAGATCTGGTAAACATTAAAGGCTTGAAAAACCATATTTTGTTAGCCCTAAAATGTACATTTTTCTTCCCACTTTAACTTGTCTGAAATTGGGATGCATCTCATTACTGTCAACCAGGTGATAGTCATGTAATTCTCCTACTGTGTGCATGTGCGAATTTACAGCTTGTCATCGTGTCATCCCTTTAACCAACATGTGTTTTGTTGGTATCAAATGTGTCAGGTTTAACTGACATTTTAAAATGTCTTCAAAAAGATTACACTATGATTCAGCATTGAAACGAAAAGTTATTGTGTATGCAGAAAAGCATGGAAACAGAGCAGCGGGGCGTACATTTGATATTAGTGAAGCAAATATTCGTCGCTGGAGAAATGATCGCAATTCCATATTTTCCTGCAAAGCAACAACAAAATGTTTTACGGGACCTAAGAAAGGTAGATACCCACAAGTAGACGAAGCTGTACTACATTTCGTCAGTGAGACACGTGCAAAAGGATTGCCTATCACACGCCAAGCAATGCAATTGAAGGCAGGCGAAATTGCCAAAACCCTGGGAATTGATGAAACAAAATTCAAAGCCACAAGAGGCTGGTGTGACCGATTCATGCGCCGAGCAGGACTGTCGTTAAGGCATCAAACATCATTTTGTCCCAAGCTCCCCACTGCCATTAAACAGAAGACAGTGTTGGAGCACTCTTTCAAGAAGTGCTGCATAACCAGTACTCTTGACAACACCGGGAGAGACGTTATGTGGAAAAACGCAGACATCAATGACTGTGGTTTGAAAAGTGATTCAGAGGAGTTGGATTCAGAATATGAAGTTATAATTATAACTTAACCAATTTATTTCACACATTTTCTTTACATATGCACAAGATTGATGTGATAAAAATCTGTTTAACTCAAAGTGCTGTTTCAATAAATATAAAATAAATGTTTTCTGTGATATGAAAGCATTGTGTCATAGTTTAATGGGCAGTGTTTTTTCTTAGTGATACATATGGTGCATCTTAACAATTGGTAGTATCTTAGGTTAAATTAAAAATGGTAGCTTGTAAATTTATTTTTCTTTTTAAGATAGCAGTTATTTATTGAGGAATTTGATTCTGACTCATAATGTTAAACTTGTTATCCTGTGTGAAACACATTTCTGGGGCGGGGGGCGGGGGCAGGTAACTTTACCTATTCGATATTTTAGAGTAGTAACTTAGGAATCTAAGAACTATCTTCTACTTTAGGAAGAGTGGGATTAGTTACTCCCTTTGTATAGGAGGACTTTATGCTAAAGGAATGTGTTGTGGAGAAAAACACTTCTTCACAAACAGCAATTCATTGACAAGACCTCAAAGGTAATGCGTATTGAGGAAAAGAGTAGTGGGTGAAAATACCCGCTTAGCTGTAAAATGACTCTCTTGCCAGGTTTCCATGTTTGTCTTAACTGAACTCTGGACTGAGTGTTTACCAGGGAGGAGAGATGTGAATTAAACAACCTTCCTGTTTAGTGTTACCTGCTTTGTACAAGAATGAAATGCAAAGCCAACTTATTTGATTAATCCAAGTTCTTTTTATGTTTTTTTTTTAACCTTTATTAAGGACTAGTCATCACAAAATATTTAACCTCTATTTTATGGTGTGTTATTATGTTTGATACCTCATACTTCTTGCTTAGAGTTTTGTTTAACAGTTCACTGGCTCTGTCCCAATATTTGTGATGAACACTTCTTTGCTATATTGTAGCTCTTGGAGATACTAAAAGGGAATTCACAGAACATTACTTTAGTTTTATGTGTTTGCTAGGGGAAGATTTCCTAGCTGCTGAGAGCGAGGCACAGTCTTTCTGTCTTCATTTCTTTATTAGATACAATTTTCTATTTTTATGTGACTCTAGGGCATAACAAAACAGTGACGGTTTCAAGCATTAATTTTAATGCTTCCTACTAGCTAAATATCGTCTTAAAATGATTATTGGAAAAAAATATGCCCCCAAAACATTTTGGTACTGGGAGGATATTTAAATATAGATTTTTCATAGTCTAATGTTTTGAACTATGGATTCTGTTTTATGGTGGATACCTAAGGTTTAGATAATAGTTGCTGGAAAGCTTAAAGTAGCTGGTGAGCTTCCTGTTAAGTCACTATTAAAGAATTGATGGCTGATGTAACTCTCCCCCCGAAATCTACAAGGGTCATGCCCAAATTAATACAGGTTAACCTTTGTAGAGGTATATATGTTGGCATTATTTATTGACATTTATGCTTTAAGCATGTCTTATTCTATGTAATTTTAAGAAATACTCTATTTAACTTGTGAAATACACCTAAAAGCATACTAGTTAGCTCTTAGCCTGTCACTTAGGGAGGGTAAAGAAACCTCACTGATGCCAATATGAAGATCTATAAAATCCTTTGTTTAGAACTCTGTTCTCTTCGTGCACCTCACAACACACTTACCATGGTACATATTTCTTAATGCCACTGAGAAAGGCAAGATAGTTAACACATAATTATTTATGTGCTATAGTGTTTCTTTTCCTGTTTTAGTGCTTTTGTAGCTAAACTTGTCAGAACTGCATCACAAGTACATTTTCAGCCTCAGTGGGAGGCGGACCAGCCTGTGTTTAATTTTAGAGCTTAGAAGTGTATGAGCATTAAAAATACATGTATTAGAATCTCGTCTACTCCCTCACAAAGGATGATGGTGGTCAGCATGCCATCTTTTGAAGATTAATTCTAAAATTGAGGACTCTGGTAGGGTGTTTTATTTCCTTCCCAATCAGCCATTCATTTCCAAATGTTTTGCCTTTGAAACTTTTTGTGAAAATTGCCTGTACCAATTGCATTGGTTGTGTTGCTCTGATTTAAATGCCAAAAATACTAAATATTTGTGTAGTGCTGTTAAGTGAGGTTTTTGATATTTCCATCACTTGATGGATTTTGTAGTGATATTTTCATAGTTGAAACAAGTAGATTGCTCTGTGGTGGACAGCCATCTCACAGACATGCAGACCCATTTCTTTCAATATTAGGGTTAACACCCATTTTAATTTTATTTTGCTGAAGGTTTGGAATATATAAAGTAATGGATTCACAAAATATATCTTAAAACATGTTGAAAGATTTGAAAGTGGTACATTTTTACTTTTAAGAGCAACAATTTTTGAAATTAATCAACGATGCAGTCTTTTTTAAAAGTCAGTTTTCTCAAGTAGTATGTTGTAATGTAACTGATATAACTAGATTTTGACTGGTAAACTTTAAGTGCTTTTACATTTGAGGTTGACTTTAAAAAGCCACTGAGCAGTCCTCAGAGGTTATGGACTCTCAAGCGACTAATGGAATAGTGTTCTGTTGTGAAGTCTAGAACTAAAGCACCTTGTATTGTCTGCTTCTAAAGTGTCCTATAGTTTTAAACTTAAAGTTATGGCAATTAAAGTTACATTTTTCATTTGTTGGTGTACATGTGCTACCTGTTTTACGGGGAATGTTTAACATGATCCTCCAAGTTGGTTCTATGCATAACCATTCACCAAATACTGCTGCTGCGGTTCCTTGAAGGAAATATTCTGTGCTCTGCTATGATGCATTGCCATCTTGCTGCTTGACAATAGGTTTATAAAGAATTAGAATTATGTGTTTTAATAGTACCTTTGTGTATATAACAAGATGTAAAATTAAAGATGAGGAATGTATGTAAATGATCATTCACTGTTTTTGTTTTAAAACTGGTCAGTACTATAAAGCTTCTGTGGTTTGTATGATGTTTTAACTTTCACTTTAAACTGCATAGAATAAATTAAAATGAATACAACAAAAATTGTGTGTCTCTGATTGATAAAGGATGCTAAGTATGAAGGGTGCCGTGGACATAAAAGGATTTGAAAGCAGCCATTCTTACTAATGGTCAACACTTCACCCCATTTTTCAAACTACAAATCTAGAAGAATAAGAGGATAGCAATAATTCTTAGTGCCATGAAAGTAAATGACTTAGGACATATATATAGCATTAAAGGACACACACACACACACACATATATATATATAGTGTTAGAGCTACATTATTACATTTACCTTATTTAACTTTTTGTTTTCTTCCCATGCTGTATTCAACACCCTCAAGGTTGTTTTGTTAACCTGTTTGCCATAGATCATGTTTCACATTTTTGTTAGTATTAACCACCGGGAAGATTGAGGAAGCTCATCAAAGCCAAGTAAAAAGATGGAGGAGTTTCTTTGAGAATGCAGTTGAGATAGAAAGCCATGAATTTCATTGGCTGGGGCAAGTTGTGACTTCTCCAGGAGTGCTCAGCTGCCAAGAATGTAGGATGGGAAGAAGTGGATTGTGCTAGGGTTGGATTTTGCAAGGCAGGTGTGTCTGAAGGGCAAGGTCATTAGAGATTGCTGGAGATTGGCCCTGGAATTTGGGCTGCGTCATGAGAGAAGTCGGATGAGTAAGGCACTGGTAAACTGGGTGAAAGGAAAGGGATAGGGATTGAAGATAAAATGAATGTGACGTGTATGATAGGAAGTTTGGGATGGAGATTAGCTGAGGTAGTTCTGAGCAATGACACCAAATACAGCCATAGAAAAGGGGAATCTGAGAAGAGTGACTCATTTTAGAGTATGATGTGAACCTGAGAATGGCCACTAATATTTTCCACATGATGGCTACAGTTAAACTATGACTTGGGGGCCATGTTAGGGACTTGGAAGACTGATCTTAAGGTCTGTTATGTCTGGTGGCTCTTAAAAGGAGGAAGGAGCTTCCTGAAAATGGAAGAGGAATGTTCTGGGGGAGCTTTGAGAATGCTCTTTGCTCATCCTGGCCCCCACTCCCTGGGCATCTCTACAAGCGCATTAGTTTATCTTGTGTAAGTACTTCAGCTGAATTGTAAGAATGATGCTGTTTACAGAGAACTTTGTGGGGGTTAGAGGAGGAAGGAGGGAAGAACAGCAAAAGCTTCACTAAGAATCTTAAAGGAGTTGGAGTTTTCCAAGGAGAGGATGAGGATTCTAGATAAAATAATGTGCACAGGCAGTGTCACGGGAAGGTGCCTTGCTTGGAGAACTATAGAGAGTTGGTCATTCCTGAAATAGAGAATGCAAGTGTCAGGGGGTGGGGATGGGGGTCCACTGTTTAGACAATAGAGATATACAGTCTAGGTTACAAAAAGACTTCGTGTGCAGTGGCAAAGGCTTTGAAGTTCATGTCATATGGTACAGAGAGTACTAAAATGTTTTAAACAGCACTGATTTTGCTTAATTAACATACGTTGAGTAGTCAACTAATCTTCAGGCACCTGCACTAGTTGCTTGTGCTCACTGCGAGGAGGAGGACTGGTTAGAGGCACAATGGAAACAGGATGTCTTAACTGGTCCAAGCAAGAAAACAAAACTAATGGCAGACGAAAGGAGCAATGACCATGGGAAATCTGAGGATACGAAAAATCAATAGGACTTGAGATTAGATTGTGAAGGAGAAGCAGAAATGAAGGATGATTTCAACATTTAGCAGTTGATAACATGAAGGGATACATACAGGAAGAGAAGTAGGTTTGGGATTGGGTATAGGGAGATGGAAGATAGGAGTCCAGTTTTGGGCATACCATATTTGAATTTGAGGTGCTTATAGGATATTAAGTAGACAGAAATAACCAGTTGTACAAATAGTATGAGGGACATGGATTGAAAACACAGACTCAGTGTTATCGCTATGTGTATGCATTTGAAGCTGTACGCAAAAATAGGATTCCCCAGGGCAGGGAGTGGAACAAGAAGAGACCCAAGGTGACACTGCTATGGTGTGAATGTTTTTGTTCCCTCCAAAAATTCATGTGTTGGAAACAATGCAATAGGGTTGGGAGGTGGGGCCTAATGGGAGGTTTTCAGGTCATGAGGGCTCTGACCTCGTGAATGGGTTAATGTCACCATAAAAAGGGATGGGCTCCTTTTTTTATTTTTTAATTTTTTTTATTTTTTGAGGTGGAGTCTCACTCTGTCTCCCAGGCTGGAGTGCAGTGGCACGATCTTGGCTCACTGCAACCTCTGCCTCCCAGGTTCAAGTGATTTCTCCTGCCTCAGCCTCCCGAGCAACTGGGATTACAGGTGCCCTCCACCATGCCCAGCTAATTTTTGTATTTTTAGT